AGGCCCCAGGCCGAGCCTGCTCCTCCTGCTGAGCTGCGTGGGGCTGGAGCAGTGCAGCCCCCGGGGCAGCTGGAGCCCGCACCTCTCAGGGGCGTCACAGGCGGAAGGTTTGTAAATGCACCTTCACTGTCTCCGCAGGATTTCGCAGGGATAGTAGCAACAAAATTCTCCCTCCGGTTTTGAGAAAGTTCCTATATAGTTTAGATTTCTTGTTTCACTGTGTTTGCAGAGTATCTGCTAATGCCTGTCGCACCTCCTGTGCATGCGCTCCATTTCCCTGGGGAGTCAGAAATCAGATTAGACTGTAGCACCAGGGATCTCGATTTAACAGTCAGCCAAACATCTCGAAGGGGCACACTCAGCCTTACAGCGAGAGGTGTCTGCTCCTTTCCCATCATAGCCCTCTCTACGCTCTGCTCTAATAGTATTTCTCGTAAAGAAAAGAATCTGTAGCTTCCAGGTTCTGCTATTGCTAGCAGAATAAATCTTTTCTCAGCTGAAAGCACTTAGTCACAGGCTACCTCTAAGCTGCTTTGTCAGGAAATCCCTGCCCTCTGCTTTGCATGGTAGGATTCTCCACTCCATTTTGCTCAGTGTCCTTAACAGAGGCTGCGTGTGCCTGCGCAGGGGCGCAGATAAGAGCTGGCTGGGGTGCGTTGCCTGAAGGCCTCCTTCCCACTTCCAGCAGGTTGTCTGGGTCTCCCAGCAACCAGACCTTTCTCTCTTTCATCCCCAGCAGCACAGCATCAGCACTTGCTGTAATCATTCAGCTCTCAGGCACCTGTTAGCTAGCTCGCCCCTTCTGATCTCTAACATCTCAAATTATCTGAGCTTGGCATCAAATCTGGGTCTCTTAAAAGAAGCTTGGGATCATACTCAGAATGGCACTACACTTTATCGAGCTCATTAAAATTGTTGTTGACATAGGAGACTTCAGAGTACTGTCTAATCTTAGTGCCCGTTTTGGCTTTTTTTGAAGCTAGTGCTCGCTCAACTTACCCCATCCTTAGAAGGAAACTCTCCCACTGCTCTTTCCCCCTCTGGCTTGTGAGTGGGAGCAGCTAAACCTCATTTGCTGTTTGCTGAGACCTCAGTTGCTTTGTAGAGCTGCCAGCAAAGAGTTTTCAGACAGCAGTAATGCACCTTCCTGTCACCTGGGCCGGTGCCAAGTGGGACAGTTAGAAGAAGAGAGGCAGTTTATTGCCCTCAGTTTATAGGGCAGAGGAAGAGAAATAAAACATCATTTGCAAATCTGCCCTAGGGTAAAACTGGAGCACCCGCCTTGCCTCACACTTCAAGAGATGAACATGTGTTGAATTTGTTTTGGGTTTTTTGCTTGGCTCTTTGTCATTCTTCTGCGGAAGTGTTGCAAAGCCTGTAATCATAATGTCTTGAAAGGAAAACTACCAAAATAAAGTGTTAAAATCAGAAAAGACTGTTTACATATAGGCAGGCATTCAGATGGATATTTCTGCCAGTAGTTGTTGGAATGCAGAAAAGCAGGCTTTAAAAAACAGCAAGTAAAATACGCACTAAAAAAATGATTCTCTTTTTTGCTAATTGTTAACAGATTGTCAGCAAACTCGAGCGAGAACGGGGGTTTGAAGAAGTCCAGAAACAGCTCCAGCAAGTGAAAGCCTTATTTGATGAAAAGAAAAAATGCAAATGGCTTTAAGCAGAGCACTGACTCACAGCATCGCCGTGGGGGATTTTAAATAAGTGCTACTGCTCCCAAAACTGTTTTGACTGACTATATGTACAGGGTTTGAAACATTTGGACACTCTTCTCCACTCTGACCATTCCAAGTAATAGCTACGTTTGGGAATGAAGTATGGGCAGGGTTACATACTCAAACGTGGGCACGTGAAAGCGAAAGTGAGTCTAGCATTGGCAGGGCCAGCAGTTTTAGGTATTTGAACATGTACCTTTTGGTTCAAAAATACTGCCCAAGTAAGCTTTCTGCTTACTTAAAAACAAGCTTGCACGAGATGCGTAAAACACGTTGCAAGTTCAAAGTTGCCTGTGTGAACCTGTAAGTTCCTTAGCTCTCTTTTTTTTAAGAGAGAAAGCTGATGTCTCGCCACATCCTTTCAGCGGCCTTGGCAAACTATGAGGATGAGCTCCGGCTTCAGAATACGGGTCAGCTGCAGTTTCCTTCCTTCCAGACAAATGTACACCGGCTCCTGGTGGGGAAAAAAAATTAAAAAACAGCACCAAAGTGACACTTAGGACAAGTGTGTTTAGCAGAAAAAGTGGGTCTACGGTTTGAAGGCCAAACGCCACAGGACAGGACTTCTTTTCCTTAGGTTAGAAATTCCACGTGCAAAGTGAAGCCAGCCGCTGAGCGGGAGGGGGAGGCTTTTGGAGAAAGGCGCTGGACCGGCATTGGTCCGTGTTTACATTTCTTACCTGTCCATCCTTAAATAAGCTGTGAAACACTTGTGAGCAGCTTCACACGTGAAACCTTGGTGCAGCTGCGCCCCACCCGAACACCGTTGTGGTTTGACAAAGCAGCTGATGGTGGCTGCACTTTGGTGCACAAACCTGGACTCAGGTGCGTGAGGGGGCCGTGCGTCAGTGCTGCCGGGCCAGCCCAGCCCAGCCGCCGGCAAGGGCCTCACAAGGCTAAAGCCAGCATACTTTTTCAGGTTGTCCACGCAAAGGCTTTGTCAAAACAGGGTTAGTTTGTTTAATAACAGGTAAGAACAGGAGGGCTGGTGTCATCTCTGGCTGTGTGTGAGAGACTGATACAAAGGTGACAGCTAGGGTTTGGGGTGGGCAGGGCTGCCTTAGCCCTGCTGGGCTGATTTTTGCGGTTTGGGCATTTTCAGAAGTGTGTGGGGTGGTCTGTTACATTTGCATTGGTGGCTGACAGGAAAGCAGGTGTGTGGCCATGCTGCTGGGACGAGGCTAGTGCAGTGGCTACCGTGCAAAGCCATGAAGAAGCAGCTGTGGCTCTGGCTCTGCTTCCACACCAGCGCAGTCCTACCCTCCACTGCAGAGCTGAAACGTTTTGTCGCCATGGACTCTGCTTCAGCCTGCCCTTAGGTTTGAGGTAAGGCGCTGATGGGCTGGAGATACAGTTCCGCATGTTTCCAGAGGCACCCACCACAGGAGGCGAGTGGCGTAGCACAGTGGCCCACAGGGGAGGGAAGAGCTGTCCCCTGCCTCGGCAGCAGCAAGGGTGCCACGGGCTGTGAATGGCACGCATGGCCCAGATTTAGCATAGAAAGCCCATGCTGGGGCTGTGACCAGCTGGAGACGTCCACGCGGGGCTTCCAGGCAGCGGAGGGCTCTCGACACTTGCCACCGTGTGCCGCTGCTTTGGAGGAGCCCAGAGGCCGGTTGCAGCTGTACACGAGCTGGCAGGTTTGGCTGGCGGGGGCCCCCGCCTGGTGCAGTCCCACGCCACGCAGCCGGCCAGCGCTGGCAAATGCTAGCCGTAGCCACGCTTTGGTAGAAGCAAGGCTGCCTGTTAACGTGGGGAAACAGCAAACATGAAACCACGTTGCCTACTGGCCTGCCCCCTCCCTACCCTGTGATTGCACAAGTCGTACCTCTTGCATATCAGTGAGGGGAGCCGCCAACCCATACTGTGATGGCATTCTGTTCGTCGTTTTGTTTTTTAATTCAAGTCTTACACTTGCTATTGCGTTTACACTTTATACTTGATGGAATGTATGGCTTTGTTCAGGAAACTGCACTACGGTGTTGCAGTACTTTCAGCAGTTCTCTGCCTGGCACAATATATTGTGGTAAGTTTAATTTTATTCGGAAAAAAAAAACCAACACACCCCAACCCTAACCTAGCTTGCCCTCTGTCCTAAAGGAGAGGACCATGGCTTGAGTAACACTTAAGCTTAGAATACCTGTACTTAAGGGCTTGATTTTTAATCCTTCTTAACCTAACCTTTTAAAGCAGCATCAAATAAATATATTTAAAAAAAAAAGCACAGTAATTCATATTAAAGGAGAGGCATGAGCAGGTTCCTCTCTCCAGTTAGACAGACATCTCAGCAGTTCCATTCCACTTCAGGTGCTTGCTGGCAGTGCATTTGAATGAACTGTGATAATTTTGTTCAACGGTAACCTTCTGTACAGGCAGAAAAAAAGAACAAACAACATTTCTGCTTCAAAAGCTGTAAAATAGAGTCTGTTTGTGTGGGTCTGATCCTGTGAACTTCACTATATGTGTTTATATGATGAGGAAAAGAAAATCAGTCCTATTCTGTATTTGTACTACTGCTTGTTTGCTACAATAGCTTTAATGATTTCTAGAGATTAAGTATGTGTTGAAGCAGGCCCCGTAGCTTTAGCCTACAGCCTGCAGTAGGGTTATTGCCTTTTATTCAAGCCTCCTAAACAGCGTCACTCTGTTAGTAAACCATTTAAAGTCATGCTGGGACGTTGTAACCCATCAAGTGGATCTCACGAAGTGGTGTGAAGTATAATGAAGTGATTGTGGCTCTTTTGGTAGGTTTGGGTCAGCACACAAAACATTGGCACGCCTTCCGTATCTGCCATTGGCTGCCACTGTTTCCACCTCTGACTATAGCAGGATTATGGCAACCCAACGATTCTGGCAGCGTTCTCTGAAATGAAAGCAGCCTTCTCTTTATGATGTCACATGTTTACAGGCAAACTGCTACGGCAAACAGCGTATTTCCTAACACTAGCTTACAGAGCATTATTTTGCAGTCACCTAGTTTCAAGTCAAATCTTAACTAACGTGTGAAGTAATTCCTGTGGTACAGAAGTTAACCTGTTGTTTAAAATGGTTTTAAAAAGTGCAAATGACAAATACATGTCAGTGTTTGTATAGGTTTATCTAGAATAAAATGCATTTGGAGGTTATTTCGATTAACTTGTGTACTTTAAAGCGGTTAAAAGAAAGCGAGCGCAGCTTGTAGCAGCGCCAAGGTCACGCAAGGAACGGCGTGTAGGACACGGGCTGGCGCCGTTCCGGCCCCGTGAGGCTCCAGGGCAGAGCCAGGCACGTCAATGCTGCGTGTTACAAACTGCGCCCGTCACCCTGAAGTTGGGAAGTACGAAAAAAGGAAGGTCCGATGCAACGTCAGGCCGTGCTGGGGGTGGAGGGGAACTGGCCTGAAACCCAGCAGCTGACAAGCAGCGATGTCCCTGCGGTGCCCAGGAGGGGTGGTGAAGGGAGGAGGGTTCCCAGGGGTGGAGGGGGTGGGGGGGGGGACCCCCCCTTGCCCCCCCCGCCTGTGGGAAGCAGTGCGGTGCCTGCTGCACCCCCACACAGCCTTCCGCTTACTCCAGCAACTTCATTGCTTCAAGTCTCTGAGGCTGATGATACTGAAATCTAGCTGAAAGCTAAAAATGTTAAAAACGAGAATAACTTGATAACCATTCTTTCAGGAGAGGGTGCAGGGACAGGACATGACCTCTCTTGTGCAAAGAGCCCAAGAGGAACTGGGAAAGGGAGCCACAAACCAGCAGATAACCATCGTTCTTGCTCCTACTATTGCCCTTTTTCTGCCCCCCCAAGGCTTCCCTAGTTTGTGTAAACCACCCCCCACCCTGCCCTGACATCAGATAAAAGTCTTGCTGAAGCCCACGTAACCGGAGCCAGGGACACTAACGCCAGGCTGCACAGAGCTGTCTCTCTGCAACCGCTGTATACTGGTGAACACTGGTAAACACTTGACAAAGCTGCCTCAGGCACAGACAGTTACTTTTTCCAAATTAATCCTCCAGCAGACAGTAGAAATGGCTTCTGTTACTTGTAACAGTAACACTGTTTTCCTCAGAGAAATCTATCAAATTCCCCCCAGAGAGTACAGTACAATCCTTACACTGATGTTCGGTAGGGAAAAATCAAAAATGCAGCCTACAGAGAGAAAAAGTTGAATCAATGGCAATATCGCCGTATGCCGCAACGTAGTTACTCGGTTGCCTGTTACTGCAGCCCAGTAACGGTACCAAATAAGCCATCGAGAGAAATCCGTGCGAGATGCAGCAGGTCTCATACTTTCACTGCAGTGTTTGGAAAAAACAACCCACCACAACAAAAAGCAAACTGGATAAAATCATTCCTACACTTCCAGGAAAGTTTTCACTATCGAGTCATAACAATGAATTGATCCTTTACAAGCTTCTGTTACTAGACTGGTAGTAAAGGATAAAAAAAAAAATATTTTCAATGAATACATTCAACCTTCAATAAATAATTTTACTGTAGTTAAGTAAACAAATTACAGTACCAACAGATACAAACTTACATTTTCATAATGCGAAGGCAATTTGTTACACTTCATCTCTACTACATTATATTAAAAAAAACTGATTATTGCTTATTCCCGTTACAAAAATACAAGAGGCACATTGTCAAGGGTAGAAAACAAACGTTTTCAGCACTTCTTCCATTTCATTTCGTCCTCTCTGCCTGCATGGGAACTTCAAAATAACAATCCAAATGTGGATTATCACATTGTTAACAATCAAAACAGAAACCCAGCAGAACTCCACACCCATACAGTAGCTTCTACATTGAAGGAGTAAGAGGATATTATCAAATACGTATTAAAGGATTTATAAAAAAAAACACAAATTATTTTAATTTTTAAATATCAGCACAATCCAAACCTTGATAAATGTGTAAGTTTTGTGTGATGAGATTATTTCATGTTTTGTCTTTCAAACAATTTTACATCATTTATATAAAACCATTTCAAAATGTAATTAATCTTTCAATGCTTTTGTTTGGAACCATTGTATTTGATAATTTATGACAGTCTATCAAAAATAAATACAAAACTACCCAGGATATGTTTTACGCTACTCAGGCACACACAAGCATGTTTTTGGCAAAATATTAAAAGCACGTACAAAAGATAAGCTATTGAAAACTAACGGGGTGTAGAGTTTGCAGGCGTTATTCGGAGTCCTCACTTTGTGCATTGTCTTCTCCAGCGATCTTGTTTCTAGCCAAGTCCCCGTACGTGCCTGCTGTTACTCGCTCTCTAGATGGTCCAAGATCTTGCAGCTGTTTTCTCTGTGTGGTTTCTAGTTCTTCCAACCGCTTGCGAAGCAAGGAAAGCTCTCTTTGATGCTGTTCCTCCTTGAAATTTAAACAAACAAACAAAAAAATTAAAAGTGGTTCTGTTACATTTACAAGAGCCCAAAATGAGCAATAATTTCACTTTCTTTAATTAATGATTTTCAAATAAAAATTGTGAAGTCCAAAATATCCTTATTCATTAAATTTTACTCCTCAATGTTTTGTGGATATTGTTCTGGCATTCGTGATGAACAGCATCAGCAAGAAACATGCGTGCAGGCGTTCCTCCTCAGATGAAGAGGCACATGGCCCCAGGGTTCTCAGTTATGAAGAATTTGTAAAGTCAGCCTGGTCAACCTCAGCCAGAGACATGTTCACCCTCAGAAGCTCCTCGGAGTAAGTAAAACTCTTTTAACTACATAAGAAATCAAGAGCAGCAACACTGCTTTTGAATAATGAAACCATGGTGTGAGAACACCACCATGGTATTTCTTGCCCAGGAGGAGCCACTTAAAGCCTCTCGGGAGGAGGACAAAGTACAGAGAACTGGGTTAAAACTGCCCATTTGTTACATTCTGTAATGTATCGTTTGTCTTTCAAGAACTCCCTCCTTTTGCAAGGAGGGAACACCACTAGAAGTATTCTTTAAAGTTTCCTTCCTCTGTTCAAAGACCAAATACTCTGTCCTTAAGACTAAGGTGTGTAATGAAGGACTGCTCCAGTACCCTCGTTTGCTATGTTATTTTCACAATTTGTAATACATCACCACCTGAAGAAGGGAGAAGGACACTTCCGGCCCAGGAGGCAAGGCAGATGATGACATACCAACTGGATTGAGTGACGGTATGTTAGGATTCAGAATTAAACTCCGGAATTCATTGTGCCTCCGTTGCAAGTCCTTTAGTCTCTTCTGGAGGCGTGCGTATTCTTCGTAGGAAACATTCTGCCTAGCAAACAAAGAGATTTCTCATTGCTCAAAATATCCCAACACAGAAGCATACCTCTCCGTGATTACTCTGCAGTTTACTATCCCTGTGAAGGAAAACTATAAACCAGAAGAACTGGAAGGTGGAAGACCTGTGTATATTCTTCTGCCTAAATGTCTGTCTGAAAGCCCCTCTACATATTAAGCTACCTGCTGTGCTACAGATTAGCATTTACATGGAATAAATTAAGCTTTTAATAGGATTCACAGTAGTGAGTCACAGGAGCCACATTAATTACCTGAATCAAACCCTCCATAGGTACATGAAGAGAAAAAACCAGGAGTTTGTCTTTCAAAGAGTCTGTTCCTCTTGCAATTCTGAAGTCTTTTTGACTTCCTTCTTTTTAAGGGATTCCTGCAACTGTATCTATCAGATATTTTTCCTCTATTTCTTCCTGAAGAGCCAGCCCTGAGGTTGTCCTGTAGGCTCTTCAGCTGCCCACCTTAAATGGGCTCCATTCAATAAATTCGAGTGCTGACAATGTCATTAGACCAGACTCTGGTTACTAAACTAAGTGTCACGTATCTTCAAAAATACTTCATATTTGTAAGTCGGATCTTGGGCATTTATCATTTTTCAAGCTAAGAAAAAGCAAAGTTTATTACCTATTTAACACCTGATTTTCTTTTTCTAGTTCTTCTATCTTGGCTTCCAAGAGCTCTAGTTTCTCTCGCATCCTCCTTTGTTTATTATCATTGAGAGTCTTTCTCTGTCAAACAGACATTTCAAACAGGTAAGAAATGCCTTGATAGATTAGATCCCGTAAAAATTAAATCTACACTGTACACAGTTTCAAGCTGAGACAGTTTTTAGGATTTTCCTTCCTTAAGAAGAGGTGCTGTGTTGTTTGAAGGTTCTGGATCCCCATGATGGGAAACAGAAGATGGTGAACGATCCATAGCTGCGACTGAAAGACACGCAGCTGTCAGTCGCTCGTTGGTCAGTGACTAACTGTACGAACAAACACTCACTGTGTTTAAGAATTACAAACCTCACTCTGTAAATGACCACGTATAAATAAGTATGAACATGACAAAAATAAAAGTATGCTTGCTCTTTTTTTTTCCTCATGTTGACTTCAATTTTTTACAACCTTAAAAGACAGCAGTAGGTTTCATAACCTGTGTATGTCCAATGTATAAAACTTCCAATTAATCTTGAGCTCTTATAAACAATTAATCAGCTTTTCCTTTCAAGTTATTTCATAAAAAGCAAGCTTAGGAGAAGATATAAAATCTTAATATTCCATCAAGGAAAAGCAGATATCATCAGTCTAGTATCCAAAACATCATTCTTACTAATCAAGTGAGTACATCTCTTAAATAACTGTACACACATACGTGCAAAAAAGCCTCACAAATCTCTGATGGCATTATAACCAAGCTCTTGGCTGGAATATTCTTTTGCGTATCACTTCAACCTATTTCTATACAAATGGTGAAGAACCTGATAAATTTTGTTATTATATACAGCAGACTGCAAATAAACTCTTAATAAATAAAACTGCAAATTAACTCTTAAAACAATTCTAGCTGGCCAAAGTAAAGCTGAACTTTCGATAAGCTGGATTGTTCCTAAAGGAAGAGCCAACATGCCTTTTTCTGAGCAACAGCAGCTCGACACAGCTTGTTCTTCACTTGGTTGTATTTGTCTTCTGTCTCCGTGATGCGCTGCGTAAGCACATGCTTCTCCTCCAGCCATTCCATACGTTTGTATTCTAAAGTCCTTTGAAAAAATCGGGTTAAAAGATTAAGGTTATACGGACAACGCGTTCGATTCATGCCTTAAGGCTCTTAAAATAGGTGCGTCTTTTCATAACTCCTACCTTTATGTACCTGAAGGATCTGATTTAAATCTGATTGTGCTGACAATCTGTGACAACGTTTGAACCTGTGCATTAATGTCATCCTAGGTTTTGTTTGAGTATGAGGCAAATTTGGAAAACTGATTCCAATAAGCTAGTTAATCGTTGGCTGCTTGTTGGTTTGGCATGCTGCCAAATCATCCATGGAAAATTTCTAAATTCAGATCAGACAATCACACTGGAACACAACAGTGGACACCTAAGCCAAACATCAGTTTTCAGAAAAGCTGACAACTACCTTCTCTGTTTGGGAGGTGAGATGTAAGAGAACAGGTTGCTGCCCTGTGCAGTCTACTACACCTTTGTAACAGTGAAGTACAGACTTGACTAGTATGTGCTCCTGACCAGAACAAACACCAACACAACAGGAAGCTCCCACCATTCCAGCTGAACACACGCCACCAACAGTACACGCTATCTCTTTGGGCCTTTGTGAAGCCAAAACATAATAAAATCAGGTTGTGTTCTCTAGCAGCAGATAGGAAAGGAGACAGCTTCTCTCTGCTGCCTTGTTTGTTCGTGCTATCTGCACTGCGGGTCAAAGCAGACAAGAACCGACTGCGTATTTAACTATGGAAAAAAAATCAAATGGCGCATTTCTGTGCGGGAGTTTTTAAGAACCGCAGTCCAAGGCTTGGTATCAGTGCATCCATACCACT